TCGATAATAGGTGAAACTCCACTTTAGAAATAATTAACCATAAAGTTATAAATAAAATGAGATTGGATCATTAAATATGCAGTTGCAGCAGCCGCGCGTTTCACAAAATTGCAATTGAAAGTGAGTGCACGGACGGTGTTATGATCAGTTGAAGGAGATGCAAGAGTGCATTAATCTTTCAGTGTGTGCCTAGTTACGTAAGGCGCAGGCGAGTGCATATGTGCGCGTTTATTTGCCGAGCGCCGAGCTTTCTCCTCTTCAAGAGATTAAATAATGCATTTTGTCTGCAAAGTGGGCCACGGGCAGCGCATAGAGGAAATGAGAGCAAACAAGTTCACACAAAGACTTCAGATTTTAATTATTGAAATATAAATAGATAAAAAAAATTTTTTTTTCAAATTAAAAATTAATTCTAATTAGTTTTTTACTCAATTATTTAATCCTTCATTTTCTACATTAAAATATTTTTAGTAAATTATATTATTTTATATTTCAAAAAATTAAATGTACAATATTTCCGATAAAACTCATAAAACGATTAAATTTTGACCTTCACATGTTGGTTGATTGTCTAAAGAACCGCAATTTAATTCTCTCTCTCTAGTAAAACATTTACGCCACAGTGCTTGCCGAGCCTAGATTTTATTATTTATTCATCCTAGCTGCTTTTCCTTGAAGCTCATCTTGCGGAACACAGGTTTTTTTCTTTGTTGCGAAAGACTTCATCTCGCGTTTATGCGCCGTGTGCACCAGATGAAAGATTATTAGTGGCCATAAAACTTGATGGAAAGCATCTCTCGCTATGCCGGAAGTGTACTTTTGATATTGCACAGACGCGGCCAAAAAATAAATGTCTCCCGCAATATTTTTGCACCAAGCTTGAGATGAGTTTTAGTTTTTTATATTATGTAAAAATCTTGATTATGCAGTAAAACTGTCGTTAAAATACTCAATTAAGATTTATGGCTCTTGTAAGTGGAATTCGCATCAAGATCATCGCGTGGTTATTAAGCGCGCCTTTTTATGAATAAAAAACGCAGCGCGTGAGATAATTTTGTGGCTCCGCGCTCGGATTTGACGAGCAGGCGCCTCGTGGCATGAGTAATAAAAACGGGTTCTCTGCTCAAAAAACAAACCTCGGTCTACCTCAACACGGTTTTTCTGAAGGCATAAATATATGGACCGGCATATTAAACCAAAACGACCTTTTACTATGGAAGCATCTAGAAATTAATCGTAATTGCCTCTAATTTAAACAAATTGTTGCTCTCAAGTTAGCAAGGTCAATGCACTGGTCAAGCATGTGGGTGACGAAGAAGAGAAAGGCAAGGAAAGTAGTTTTTTATGCGGGCCTAAAATAGAGATGGAGAAGATCGAGAGACCAGTTTTTTGGTGGTATATTCTGTTTCAATGCAATAATTTAATTCGAATTTCATTGAAATTTAAAATATTAAATTAGGTTCAATGTATAAATTTATTTCAAATTAACAAAATATAAACACCGACCTTTATTTTTTCAATAATATTAATAAAACCTCCGCGACATCATTTAAAGTTGAATTATCGGCAACCTTGATGTGTGACCTTTTACAATGCATGATTTCGCTGTTAAACGGAGATGACGAAAGGTCACGGCAAAGATGAATCAACTGGTGTTTGAAGCGAAATTTCCGATCGAAGGAAATCGAGTTGGCACAATATGCAAATTTAATTTTATCCTTTTCTATTTCTAAGCACATCCGATTAATTAAAATCGCTGCTTGTATAAAAATTGCACATTTAAGTACGGGTAATTGTAATTTTTAATTACCGTCATTATGAAACAAAAGTTTTTCTGCTGTGCTGCGTCTCGCTTTGGACCAGCTGCTCGCGCTTTCGCAATTGCTGCACCTTTTGTCAAACTGGCCGTAAAGATTTCTTTATACATTTAGCTTGGTGAGTCAAGCAGCGAATCAAAAAGACATTATGGGTATCTTTAGAAAATGTAAAGGACAAGTTTTTTCGTTCAGACGAGTTGACCTGCGTACAGAGTTAACTGTGTCAAGTGCTGAGACGTTCGGATTTTATTTTCAATTTGCTATAAATTTTGGGAAAAGCTATAGGAAAAAATGTTTACCTATTTTTAATAAACGGTACCAGCGAAAAAGATTCTTGCCTTTTGTTCTGACAAAAAACTCATAATGCTGAATTTGTGGCTTTAATTTATTTCAACATTCAAAGCAGCAGATTTTTCTATTAATTTTTTTAATAAACTGCATTGTTGGTATTTAAATTTTTTCTACCGATATATTATCATGAAATTAAATCATTTTATTTGCGCGTTTGATGAAGGAAATGCTCTGACAACGAGATTAATTATTTATGATATTATTTTAATAATATTAAATTTTCAGCTTTAAATGCACAACCTCGCAAAACCAGTGAAATGTTCTACTAATTGGCAAATCAACAAGTTGCCAAACTTTTCTCAGCAAATTTTCACACCTATCTGCAAAGTTTAAATCATCTTAAAACTTTACCGTGACAAAGTTTGCGGTTCGTAAATACTTGTGCTCATTTTTGCTTGCAATAAAATGAAGTATCCAAGCCCATATTGATAAGATGAGTAAAATTTTTATTGTAATTGTTTTTTAAAATTTAAAGAAAACAATCAAAATTTGCTCACCTGATTAAAAATCGAAATTCAATAAAAATTAAACTCACTCAGACCACATCCTTAACAATGCTACACCGAAACAAACTTAAATTTTTTTAATGACATGAAGTTAACAAAATTATTCAACCACTTTTTATAATTGACGCCTGAAACAATATAAATTTTTTACTTCACAAGATTGATTAAATAAAAAGTAAAAATATAAAAGTTTCCTAGAAACACATGAAAAAATCAAGGTCTTCTTTTCCGCCTGTTGTCTTTCCAAAATAGTTTTTGCACTCTTGTAAAATTCACAACGATATATAAATAATTTCTATGCGAGTCGAGGGACGAATCGAATCGCCATTACAGAGATTGAGCGCAAGCGACGGTGACGAAAATGAAAAGTGCAAGTTGGTCTCGTTTGTCCCGATGACCTAGTAAAAGGAAACTCTCGCGTGCAGTGTATTATGCATTGCGACTTGAAAGACACGCCTGACTTGCATCGTGCATCACCGAGATACTTCATAAATTTTTTCCGGCTCGGTAATTGCGCACGTTGGGTAATTCGTCGCGTGTGTTTATTAGATAAGCAGTGCCTGAAAACGGGTGTTAATGGAAGCAATCTTTTGTTTGTTTGAGAGAGATAAAAGGTCACGATTTTTAAACTAAAAACGGCGTTCCGTTCCGGGTCAATCTTTTGTGGTGAAAAAAATAACACTTGTTATCTTTAGAAGTAAAATTATAACCAGCACGCCACTTTCACAGACACTGATTGTCATCTAATTGTTCTGTAAAAATTGGTTATTAAAATCTTGCTTTGTCATTTAACAAGAAATCAGAACACATTTTTTTTGTTAATCGTGCATAAGATTTCTTAATTATCAATACAAAATTCTCCCGATTGCCAAATTGACCTTACAATTTCAAAGAGAGTACTTAGAAAAAATCGTTAATTAACAACACACGCGGCTCTCCTTTCTTTAGCAATAAAGAGTGTTCTGCCATTATAAGGTTTCAAATTTCTTTGCAGAGGCGAAGGACAGACGAAATTAGAGACGGAATTCAGTGAACAACTCCTAGTGTTCCTCTAATTAACAATTAGTCACCGCGTGTAATTATTTTTGAATTAGTGACACTTGGGTGCAAATTTCTCTGGAAATCTGTACATCTAAAAAAGTAAGAAAACATCAATTCTCATTAAGATTCTGTCCTTTTTCGTCTTGAGCTGTCACTTTAAAGATTCTAAGCAGATGATAATGTTCATCCTTTTCACGGGGCAAGATCTTTGCTTAATTTAATTATGTTTTAATTAACGGAAGTAAAAATTCATAAAAAAAAGAAAGCATTAAGATTCTTTTCTGCACAGGTGTGCTCGATATAGGTTGAAAAGGTTTTATTTTTCAATACTACTTAAAAATAAATCTTTATAAAAGTTTTGAGGATGGATTAAAAGCCTTATTTTATATGTTCCTTGAATAATTAACAACAATTAATCCTTATTTAATTGCTTCTCATCTCTATTAAATAGTAAGGATTAAAGATATTTTAACGAATGTATAATTTTTTTAATTAATTTCAACTAATTTTAATTACGTTTTTCTTTTATTTTGACTATAAATATTTATTTATCAAATTCTGAATATTTTTATCACGGAAAAAAATGATTATGACCATATCTTTCAATACTTGCATGCCTTTGACGCAGCATTTTAAATTGCAGTGCGTGCAAGTTTGCATTTTTCCCTCTTTCAAAACCACAGTATTGAGCATATATATTGCTGTAAAAACTAACAAGTCGGCGGTATTGCTTAATAGAAAAATTCCTCGCAAAAAACATTTCTCGTTTATTGACCACAGAAGCCTTTGAAAAAAGAGAACCAGACCGTATATTGAAACGTTATTAAAGCTTCTTCCAACAAAATAAAGCTTTTGAAAACTAGTTTGAAGCACAAATTTGTTAAAATATTGAATGCTTGATAAATAATTAAAATAATGATCCTAGTTCATTAAGATATAAATTGAAATTTAACTCTCAAGCTACATATTTTCATGGAAAATTGAAACCGATCGATTTTAAAACCGCATAGAATGGAACGAAAAAAATAAAAATTAAATAAAGCTAAAAAGTAAACACATCAAAAACATGGATCCAATGGAAATATTTTAAAGAAAAGAATTATTGGAAAACAATTAAAATATTATTTGGAATTTTCAAATAATTAAATTTGTGCAATTTAAAAAAAACTAGGTCCGTTGTCCTTTTTCTATTGAAAAGGTTGTATTAATTTTTAAAAAATTGTAAAAATTATAAATGTGAAATTAAAAAAAAATTGAGAGATTTAAGAAAAATTTGCTCTCCTACCTGCCCAAGTTCCGAACTTGTCCTTAAGATCAATGGATTTGCTGCAAAGCGCCGGTCCAAGGAAAAACACGGTGAGGCCGGTGAGGAGGGTTAAAATCAGCCCCAAAAGAAAGGTGGCGACGACGACGAGGCCGACGGTGGCGAGCGCCAAAAGCGCCGCGCTCAGCAGCATCTTCTCCGACCAGATTCGCCTTCGGAGAGTGAGAGTGAGATAGAGAGAGGGATCCGATCTATTGTGATTCAAAAGTTGAAATGCTTCAACTCTTTGCACACACACGCTCGAGCCGCGCGTCTATTCTTCCACCTCCAAGTACTCGTGGTGGAGGGAATTCAAGTAGAATAACCGCGTTGGAAATAATCAAGTGCAAATAACGCGACACTTCTCAACGTCCGACGTTAATTAATAAAATTATTTAGACGGATGTCGAGCCCGATTTGCGGACGTGCCGGAAAGGAAACGGAAATTTCAGCCGAAAGTTTGGCGTTGCAGCCTGTTAAGTGGAAGTAACAAAAGTTTCCTCTGCCTTTAGAGATCGCAATTCAAAAGTTTTGACAGAGCCAGGTTAATTATAATTGAGGAGAAAGGCCCAATTATTTTAAAATATAGCCGAATATTGATATATGGACTTATCAATACAAAAATAATTTAAATAAATTAAATATATTCAGTTGGAAGTGATAGATAAAAAAAAATTTAAAATATTCACTTTGTTAATTATAAAAATATGTTTGTAGTGAGTGAGAATGAAGCGGATTTGCATGTCTTCAGTTAAAAATTTAATTTTTAGTTTATGTTATATTAATTCCAAATTTAAAAATAAATTATAATCTTTGATTAGCACTTTATAAAACAAGTTTTTTTAACGCAGTTAAGTGGATTTTAGTGTTAAAATACAACATAATAATAAAATAAGATGTTTTTTTTTTAATAGATTAAAATCAATTGAGGAATTTATTAAATTTTAGTCAAAAAATTAATACAAATGAATTTAAAAATAAAAAAATATAGTTTCAATCATTATTAGTTGTTTTTAAAATAAATTAGGAATTTATTGAATTTTAATCTAATAATTTTAGTACAAATTTATTTAATATTAAAAAATGTATCTTAGTGCAAATGAAATAACATTTTTTGTTCTTCTCTAAACGCTTCCATTAAAAGAAGTTTTTCTGGTCTGCTGCCGCGTCAAAAGCACCTCTTATATGTATATAAAAATATAAATGTTCCGCATCTACCTTGGCTGTTGTTATTTATTATATTTGCCTGCTGGCTGGTCTAGAAAACGCGAGCGCGCGCGATGAACAATAATATTCCACTCTCGCACTAGAGCCGTTGAATTGCAAAAATTCACAACACCAGGCTTGGCACTGCGAGCAAAACTGGAGTGTTACAGTTGAAATTATTTGCACGCGCCTGCTACGTTTCCCCTCCGAGCTCATTCTCATGCAAATCGCTGAGCGCGCGCCTTATCAAATCGACCTCTAGCCTTTCGAGCAGTGACTCGGACGACCCGCTTCGTCGCGTCCGTCCGTCCATGCATGGCATAAAATAAAACTACAACAACAACGCCCAGTAAAACAAACATCATTACAGTAATGATGAATATAGAACAGAAAACTCCTCCTTTTTTATCGAATTAAATTTAGATTTACTTTTGTTGGCTAAAATGATTTTAGTGAGATAAAATTTTCATATTTTATGAGTGGAATCATTAGTGTATCGTTTGGCTATTGATTTTTAAAACTTCTGCCGGTGCTAATTAATTTGTCAACTTTAAACGAATTTGTTTATTTTTATTAATTCATGGCCTTGCAAGTAAATTGTTTGTGTAAATGCAAGTGACATTTTCTCTCTTTATAGCCTTGTAAATTTAATTTTGGTACTCGCGATGCAGAAGGTGTCGAAGCTGCAATACAAATTCAGAAAACGATCTCGTTACATCAAATGATAAACATAGTTTAGAAATAATGGGTGTTTTTTTTTCCAAACAACAGAGTAAATGCGATCGTTTGCGTGCGCGCGTGTTAACCACTGTTGAAACATTACAATTCAAAACCACACGCTTTGTCTTCCAAATCACGTGCCATCGGAATGAAATTGCCGATGATAAACTAATCTCTATAATTGGCACGCACAGACACGCGTTTTGTAAAACTAAGCAATATTTCTACCACGAACATGTAAACTAAATTTTTTTTAAATTATTTTGCTGATTTTTTTGTTTTAGAAAAACCAAACTATTTGCAATAATTTAGAAGTTGAGTCCTTAAAGAAATTCGCTTAGCAACTGGACTAAGAATGCGAATTCGCACATTTGCAGGCCTTGAAAGAGAGAAGAAAATCAGGTTTTCGCGAACATGTTCCCAAGCTTTGGCCAACCAGATGGATCAGATTTATCATTAGTGCGTTCAAAACTATTCCAGCGCCCCTGTCAAAAGCTAGCTTTTTATTTTTTCGCTAACCTTCACTAACAAACCACACATAATCCCATGCCTGTGTGTATTTTTTTTAATACGAATTCTATCATCTTGCCGGAAAGAGGGTTCGAACGGCGCAAATTTATTCCTCATGACAGACGCAGTGTTGCGGAGAGAGTTTTGTGTTGGAGGAGACTTTGCCAGACTAATGGAGTTCGGCTTTTGTTCCGTGTGTGTTCGGTGCGGAGGTCGCGTGAATAATAAATAACATATAATGCATGAAATTTATGGTTTAGAAAGTGAATTTGGGAGGCAAAATTTTGTATCTATGCAAATAAAATGGACGCCGTGAAAACAATTTTGGTCTAAAACAATTTTTTGACTAAAGCTTCAAATTTTCATTTTTTTGATTAAAAATTGTTTGAAAATTTTGTAAAAATCAGTAAATACAATTTTAATGGAAAAATTAAAAAAAAGTTAAATACTTTTTTGCTGCCTCACGTTAAACGTTATACTTGCAGGGATTCTGATGTTTATTCATATTTTTCTCATAATTTGATTAAAGTTAAATATTTAAAAAAAATTATTTAAGGAGAGGCTCATGCTTTTATTCTGATAGTAATTTTTCTCTAAATTAGCATTAGTTTTTCAAGATAATTCAATTCATTGGGGAAATTTTGAAATTCAAAATTGCTTTTATGAATTTAATTTTAGCCTCTATTTCAATTCTTATAACAAAAATCTACAGATTATTGGAGATTTGGATTCTTTTTATTAAGTATAAAATTAAATAAATCATGCTCAAAATTAGTATTGGTAACCGTAAATTATTTATTTTCTTATTTTAATTAATTATCATAAAAGATGAATATTTTTTTTTTAAATTTTGGAACAATTAAATATTTAAAAATAATTTGATTTTTTTCTGTTTTAGAAGCAAAGGTAGTGTCGGTCTGACTGGCAGTCCGGGCATCACGTCGCGCAACCGATCTGGAGTGGTCATGTGCGGAAATGGTGTTCCAGCCAGGGGCAGTCCTTCGACCTTGAAAAGGGTGGTCGAGGATCCGCTGCAGGAGGAGGAGGAAGAAGAGGAGAAGCCGGCGGAGGAAACGCCGAAAAAGAGCCAACACTCGAGCCCCACCGCGACCTCTCCGGCCGAAAAGGCGGACGACGAAAAGGTCGAGCGACTGCACATGGACGTCACCCTCCTCTCAATTGAGGTGAAATTAATTTTTTTTTAAAAATAAAATTAATTATTATTAAATTATTCTTTGGCCCAGGTGCGATCTGCGCTTCAGGCTCTGAATCTGCTGGCGCGTCCCTACGTTCCCGGCGGACTTGGCCTTCCGTTGAAACTTTCGTCCAACCCCAACCTGACCGACCCTTCATCCCTGAGTGGAAATGCGGCGCCTCTTTTGGCGCCGAATTTGCTTACAAGGAGTCACAGTCAGCCTGCTGAGCAGTTTTGGAGCGAGGATGAGACAAATAAAAAACAAGGTTTTGAATATTTTAATAATTATTTAGGTTGAAAAATTTGCATATGGGACAATTTATAATTTTGTTTTAAAACTTTTAATTAATTTCTGAGTGTTGTTTACGTGGTTTTACTGAAACTGTGCGAGAAAATCTTGGCCAAAACTACCAAAATTTTTACTCTTAACTATGAAATTGATTTTTACTGACTCAAAATTTATATTCTTGAGTTTCAAAAAATTGAAAAGTTTATAAAAACCCAAAAAAAGTTGCCCTGTTTGCCTTAATTTTCTAGTTTTTAATTAACTCAAAATTTTGGTATATATTCCATTCTGTGAAGCCAAGTTTTCTCTCACAATCAGTAAAACCAGGTAAATAACCCTCTTAAAATTAAGCCCTGAAACTGCTTTAAACTTAAATAACAAAACAAATTTGGAGAAACTTATTTTAATTTATTATTTCCTTAGCGAGATCGACGCAGACCGAGCAGAGCCAAATGGAAAGTTTGCGAACTCTGATATTGGCTAATCCCGATTTGGCTGCCCAAATCCTGAAAGAGGCTCAGAAGAAAAAGCACCGCAAGAGTGACAGTGACTGCCACCTCAAGAGTTACTAGCGAAACACTTTGCATTAATAGTCGATCCCTCGGCAAACCTTATTGTTAGCTCTGCGCATGGCTTACAAGTATGTCAAGAGGATGAATTTAAATTTTTATTCTAGATTTAGAGCATTCCATTATTCTTTTATTAAAGAAGATCAATATTTCACATTCTCCCATAAAAGGTTGATTATATTGAAAATTAATAAATATTTAAAGTGTTATTCAAAATTTTCATATTAGTCAAATATTCTCAAGTTTCCGTGCATAATTAATTTTTAGGCATCAAAAATATATTTTAAAGTAAATCCTCGCTCTCTCTCTCTTACATCAATTAAAAATGTCCTGGACCGGGCCTATATATCTGCCAAGCAAGAGCTAATTAGCAGAAAGGAAATAAATTGTTGCTGTGATGATTATAAAAATCTATGATTATTATTACATTGTTGTCTATTTGTATATGAAATGCTGTTTTTCAAGAGAAGATTGGCCGAAATTCTATAAAATATGCACAAATTATTCTCATATCAAAATTTAGAAAAATCTCTCTTTATATATCTGCGGTCGTGTTCAGCATTAATGTTAAGCCAGTGAAGTTTTTTAGCCGCGCACACTTAGATTATAAGAATCTTGCTAGGATAAATAGGTGTCATATCTCTATATGATTTATTTTCTCTTAAAAAATATACAAGAACTTTTAAGTTAACAAAAGAGGGTGCATGGAATTTGATGTAAAACACACGGATTTTAATGTTTGATGTAAAAAAAAAAAAATACATCCGAGAGTAAAAAAAGATCATTTGTATAGAGGTTAACAACTGAGATAATATCAAAAGGAATATCAAGCCTAATCGTCTAATGCAAAGCTGACTAAATTGCAGGCCTACACGTATTTTTTATAGGAAAATTAAATTCTAATAAGTGTAGAGGATGATCAGTTGAAACTTCATAACTAGAGTAAAAAAAAAGAGTTTTTAGTTTATAAAATATGTGAATGTGATAATGCAAAATCTAAATATTGCTAGAGAGCAGAAAAATGTTGATATGAATTAAATTGAGATGTTTTAAAAAATGGTGCACAATGCAAAATAATTATATAAATGATCTCAAGTTGTACTAAATGATTTGCTGCGTATTTTGGCGAAAAATTTAAAAGCTATTGTATGGCATTTCAAAGTTAATGTTTAACTCCTGTTTGAGAGGAAATTAACTGACACAGGTCGCCATTAGAAATTTGTGTAAGAGAAAATGTGGTCTAGCTTTTCTCATAGTAGTGCTCGGACGCTCAAAATACAATTTTCATAGAGAGGATTAAGTTATTTTCCTTCAGAAATATAAAAAGGTTCTTAACAATTTGATATTGAGGAACTGTTTATTAACAAAAAGAGCATCAGCAGTAAAAAATTTTTGTTTCAGTGTTGACTTTGATTCTTGAAAATAAAATAAGTTGATTTAATTAAGAGCAATTTTATTGATTATAATAATGATCTATAAACATGAAGACAAGTATTTCTATGTTCACATTTTGTTGTATGGCTACTGTATAATACCATTCATAAACTGTAGGCAGGATAAATACATATCTAGCTATAAGGACGCATTTTTTTTCAAGGATTGCTTTAGAGACATCAAAAGCTCGTTACTTTCAACTTTATATAAATATTTGATTTAAAAATGCAGCAGGTATATATTCGGAAGGCTCTTATGATTGCTATGAAGCAGCAGTAACTGTTTTGGCAAAATGACACAATTCATTCAAGGGTAAAAAATTACAAAATACTAAGATGAAAGGAATAATAATTTTAGTTCCGAATCAATTATCATAGACTCACCACCGAACTAAGTTTATTTAAGTATAATAAATAGTGGTTTTCGAGCAGAAAGGAGCTCATCACACTAATCCAGTCGCTAATTTTCTTTCCATCGCCAATTATTTATCTTTTAAATTACAAAACGGGCAAGTAAAAAAGAAATAAATTAATTTAAAATGACAAGAGTGAATTCCATTCAAGTGGCACCCATGGATTTTGTGTCTGGGACATAAAAATTATAATATGGCGCAAAGATTCTTTAGATGGTTGGCTGAGAGTGATCCATCAACTTGGTGATGAGACTGCCATGCATCCTAAAAGGCAAGATTCAATTAGAATGAGTAAAAATATTTGAAATTCTTACTTTTTAATCATGTGCTCGTACAAGACGTGTGGCATGATGGTGAGAGAGACAACGGACGCAGAGCTCCTGATGATTTTGGTAACTTCCTTGTCATCAAGACCAATCACATTTTGTCCATTCACTTCCAACAGTTGATGGTCAGTCAAAAGCCTAAGAAATTAAAACAATTAGTACTAAAAAAATTTTGTTTAAAAAAATATTCCAACCCGTTGCGAGCCGCAGACGAATCCTTCACGAGACCAGTAATTTTTCCCTTGCTGAACTGGAAGCCGATGTGGTCAGTCGAGTCTTTGTGCAGGACAACAGTCCTCTCGAAAGGCCTAAATTCATTTATTGAAACCACAAATAAATTTATCAATTTTTTATGTACCTATCACGGACGATCACTTTGATATCATTTTTGCCACACTTCTTCAAAATTTTGTGTCCCTCTTCCATGTCCATTCCAGCCACATCTTCACCATTGATCTGCAGAATTTGGTCTCCAAACTTGAGGCCAGCAAGAGCGGCCGGTGTGTTTTTCGAAACCAGGCAAACAAACAGTCCGTTGTTTACGGAACGCAGACGGAGGCCGATTTTTTCATCAGCATCTTTGCACAGAACCAGCTGCAAAAAAGTAAACAAATCTCAGAACGAGTAATTGTGAAACATAAACTTTTAAAATTTCAATTGCCTGAATTGAAAGAAACAAACCTCTCTAATTCCATGAGTCACTTGGGTTTTCTGGAATGCGAGACTCTGGTTGCTGAGAGGAGCAATCATGCCACCTCGGTTTTGAGAAATCTGCATCTGCTGAGGCTGCGGAACAGCCAATGCTTGTTGCGGCTAAAAAGAGAAAAAAAATCATAAATTGGGGATTGAAAATTAAATTATTTAAAAATTGCTGCATTTTTCAAAAATTCAGTAAATTTTTTAATGAAAATTAATTTGAGTTTTTTTTTGGCAAAGTTGTCAAGGTTTGCATAATTTTAAAACACTTTTTTGTTTAGAAATTTTCAGATTAACAAGACTATTGTAGGAAAATTAGAACATAAATTCTAAATATTTTTCATTTTAAATTCTAACCAATTTAAATTTCAGTAATACCACGATTTAAAATAATTATAGACCATCTCTGTGGGTCTAAAATTGCGGGCCAACCACTTAAAATCACAAAAAAACTCTTCTTACAATGTGTGCTTGGACGAACTCGTCAGTGATTTGGAGTCCCATGAAGTCTCCGAGAGAGGGGTACAAGTGCCCATTTCCTGTCGTCGGGTACGGGGGTGGAGCGTTGGGGTAGGGGGTGGCCTCCTGAGCAACCTCGACGTGCTGACTCGCTTCATATTGCATCTGAGCCTACAATTTGCAAAAACGTTAATATGAATGTGGGAATCAAAAGACATTTATTCTCACCTTCATCAGCTCATCCACCTTCATATCCTCCAAGCTTGGGTACAACGACATTGTGATCCTGAGATAAAATAAATAATTATTAAATTTTAATAAAGAATATTATAAAATAACAATAAGAAAATATAATGGGGAAAAATAACTCACTGATGCCTCCCGTAATCAGACCTCATGATAATTTAGTGGTTTTATGATATGGATGTATTGTTTAAGGAGCTCAAGAACAGACTAATTCAGAGTTAAGGCCTGAGCTGAACTATATAGCAAAATCCCCCCTTGGCCCGGATAATACGTGATAAAGAAAATAATAACTTTATCACAAGTTTGTGCGAATCAGTATTGAATCATCGCAGGCAAAAGGACGCTTACGTAGGTGACGTTTGCACGTGACTGCCTCTACAACCAACCGCAAAATCGCACTCTTTCTTACCTGGATAGCAAGATGTGAAATTTTTGAAGGGAAAACAACAGTGGATGTAGTTCCGGAGTGTCGGTTTATTACCCAACCTGGGAAAGTGACAAAAGGAAAAGTGCGAAAAATATCGTTTGCAGGCTTTTGCATAACACCACATAACAGGAGAAAGATGAAAATTAATTAATAGGTCTGCCTCTAACAAATTGAGTGAATCTAAGAAATGAAATTTTGGCAACTGGGAAACGGACAGCGGAGGAATTTGGGCTTCCTACGAGCGGAAAATTCAGGGTTCCAAGCAAAAGAACTTACTGTATTGTGTTTCCTCAACAGTGGGAACAGACAAGGAAATTAAAACGGAGTTTAGTGTGCGTGAGAAAAGTGGATTGAGACTCCAGACGGCTAAAACAACACAAATCCTGCGCAAGTGTCAATAATCACGTGCAATGACGTCAGAATCAGAAGTCAGAGCAAATACCAGTGCTGCCAGCATAAAGGAATTCACAACAGCCAGGAAAATGAGTAAAATTCCAATATTTCTTCATAAAATGGCATACTTTGAATTTAAAAATTATAGTAAGACATAATTAAGTTTAAAATGGGCTTCTGCATTGCCAATTTAAGAAATAATTAGTGGACAATTACAAAATGTTCACTATTTTTTGGTTGGCAACATTGAACATGAACTTGCCCTTCTCGTTACGCCCACTTTTTTGAGATCCATCCAATTTAAAATTTGATTTGGTTAATTAACATCAATTAAGCCGTGCTGCATTGCTCAGTGACAGGAAATGTCACTCAGATCGGCGGCTGCGGTCGCTGTCCGCGTTTCTACACCAATCGGCGCCGCCGCTTTTGCGTCGCCGGCAATCAATTGCTGCCGTAGCAGGCTCGGCTCTCCGGCGTTTCCTCCTAGTCAACTCTTCGGCCTGGTCGGCAGCGCCGTCGGCGTCCAGAGTCGGCGCCACATCACGACAAAGTTCAGCAGCAGCGAAACGGACGCGGCTCAGAAAAATCCGCTCACGAAAGCTCAGGCCGAAGAGCTGATTTTGAAGCTGACCGAGGAGGAACAGAAAATCCTCATAAAGGCCATCCAGACGTTTCAGTCGGAAAAAATGAGACAGGAATACAAAGGTTGAATTTTAGTTTCATCTTTTAATTTTTCAATTTATTATTCGATCAAGCTTATTCACGTCACGAATACGATTTAATGAAATAATGATTATTTTGCTTGTTTATTTTTATTTAGTACTGTCAATTTTTTATACATTAAATTTGTAATTTAATTTATTAAGATTTTTCCTTTCTAAATATTATTGATTTGTTTTAAGAAAAAGATAATAAAGTTTTTCAGTTATTTTGAATATTTAGAATGATTTTCAGGACAGCTGGCTGGTTGGAGGTGGCGTTCGAAGCTCGGACGACCAAGTTCGCTGCCAAAATTAGGCGACGCCGACGTCACTGGTTCCTATTGTCCCCTGCCCGAGGACTGGCTCAATAAAAAATTTGGTATTTCAGCTCTTTTTGTTTAATTGAGATGCTCGGTGGCGGTCCAGATTTTGTTTACAAATTTGATTAGATAATCCATGAAAAACCTATCAAAAGTAAATTTCTCATCAAAGCTTTTTGTTCCCTTGCTCAACCCTTTGTCTGAAATATAGGATTCAAACGTAAGAGCTATTGAAAATTTATTTTTGTGCAAAATACTGTTGGTGTTTATTATTTTATTTTTTAACTTCAATGTACGGATTTATACTTCAATAAGTCTCTTCAAGTCTAAAATGAGACTTTCTGCTAATAGATATTTTGTTTATTTATGTTCATTGTTGCATTTCTGGTGTACGATTAAAAGTAAACAATGTATTGTTAGAAGCTCCGAACAAAAAAGCTTCTCTGCACATCTTACTTTCATTGTTAGGTAGTTTTCTATCTGATCTTCTTAAACTAATAAATAACAATAAGCAAACAAGTCTTTCTACTTTCTAAAATCTTTCAATCTTTGCTATTTTAACTATCTGCATGATGGAATAAATTTTAACAGTAATTAAGTATAAATTACATCTTGTAAATAAAAAAAATCATTTTAAATTAATCAATCAGCAGTTAACTAATTAATTTTTAACTTTTAGCGGAAACGCAGCCTCCACCAACTACGAAAGAGTTAGCAAATTGTAAGTTTGTAAACATAAATAAAATTATAACCTAATTTTAATTGTGAATTTGATTCTAGTGGGTCTGCACAATGCACTTCCTTTCATCGGGTTCGGGTTCCTTGACAACTTTATAATGATTGTGGCTGTAAGTTTCTTTCAAATGTCTGTAGAATTAAACTTTTAGAATTAATTTTATCACAGGGTGACTACATAGATTTAACAATTGGCATGACCCTGGGCATCAGCACAATGGCAGCAGCAGCCCTGGGAAATACAATATCTGATGTAGCTGGAATTGGCTCTGCTTGGTGAGTGTAAATTGTCTAATTTTAAATTAATTTTAAGTGAGCTTCCAAAAATACAATTAAAGGACTATTAAAAATTTAATTAAAAGTTATTTTTTAACTCAATGAGCATTCATTTTTAATTAAATCAAAAAGTAAATAATGATTTAAAATTTAATTCCAGGTATGTTGAAAATATTGTGCAGAAATTCGGGTTCAAACCACCGCCCTTGTCGCCAATTCAGCTTGACATGAAAAGCAGCCGACGAGTAGCAAATTTTGTAGGTTTTGAATTTAATTTATACATAGAATTTATTTATTATTCCCTTTTTGTTGACAGGGTCGGGCCATAGGGGTCAGTCTTGGTTGCTTGCTAGGCATGTTGCCACTCATGTTTTTACCAGTCAAGAAGAAGAGAGAAGGCGAACAGACTGATGATGTTCCGTCAGCTGAGGAAGAGGCAGAAATCGTAACACCAACTAATTAGCTTGCTAATGTTTCAACTTGGAAGCTTTTATCTCAGATACATTTAATAGTACTTAATAACTCGCCGTCTTCCTAGCAACAAAATTTCGCCCTGAAAGATCTATTTTCTCTCCCCGTCTGCACCTTTCTTGGCTTTTCAAAAGTGGACAAATTAGGGAATCATTCCTCAAGGAATGACACACACACACAGCTTTATCACTTGTGAAATTGAAATATTAGTCAGTTATGAAATCGATGTTTAGGAATTAGTTCGTTGCAGAAATGCTCAGTCTTAAATACTTAATGAAATTTAACATTTTCAGAACGTCCGTATTCAAGCACAATATTTAGCACAAAAATTAGGAGGTCGAACAATAAAATTAGGGGCACAAAACAATAACACAGTGAGAGCTTACAATTAAGAGTAGATTTTACATATTCAGCTCTCTTAAGTTGTTAATTTGTACAAAGGTTTGTTTTTATTTACATGTTTGCATCCCCAACCATCACCATTCCTTAATGAGTTTAATTTATCCATCTTTCATTCAAACTATTGCCTCTTTTACATATTTTAATGAGCTGAAGAACCAAAATTTAGGGATCAAATACTAGATGAAGAGTTGTGTGTAAATCTAGATTAGAGAGTAATATAGAAGTTGAAAAAAGTTCCAAAAATTTTAATAAATCATTATGTCCATTTTCAGCTGTTATTTCAAGTCAAGTAATTAATCCATAGGTCAGAGATAAAATCAATTAGCTGTATATGTAATTAAATAATATTAAAATATTTTACTGATTCTAAGCAAACTTTCCAAGTTTTAAAAATTGTATAAAAGGTTGTGCTTTTCAATGAGCTTGGCAATCTCTGGACTATTTATAAATTGTTAAATTGTCTTTTGAAATTTTGTTTGCTCCTGTGATTTTACATTGTAATTGAGAAAGAAAGTTTGCTTCACACTGCCTTGTACGCTAAATACGATGAATGGTGGCTATCTTGTAAAATTAATAGTCTTTCAATCAACTTTGCTGCTATTGTAAAGCTTAGAAGTCTTTGCTCATGTAAAAATATATTTCAGCTGATATTTATTGCTTCCGATTTTGGCAAGCTGCTTTTACCGGCTTTTACGCAGACTATTGTTTTCTATTTCTCAATATGCGGACTGTTATCCGAATTTTCTCATTTTTTTGTTAGTAAATTCTAAAAATATGATTATCAATGTTGTAATTCATGTAACAATTAAAAAGTTTTATTAAGCAGAATGAGAGTTAATTTTTGTAATAAATTATCCTTTTATAACAATTCTTAATTAGGAAATTTAATGAGCTTTACTCCAGGAAAAAATCAGCAAATCTGTAAAGTATTTAAAAAAAAAAATCAGATTAAATGAAGTTTGTGCAATTATTAATTCCCAGAATAAGTTTCCATTTGCAAGACCAATTACAGGGAATCTTCATCTGTTGCCTCTCTTTGAACAATGAAGCTCCTCACCCAAACGAGAAATAATAATACGCGCACCGAAAGCAAGATTAATTGTTGGCAATTTTTCGACTTGAGAGGTGGTGAAAGTTTTTTGGGGGTCGCGCGCACGCCAACACGCGTTTCGACGAGCGAAGGGATCAAAGCCGGGGGTGCGGCGGCGGCGGAGGCTCGGGGGCGCAACAGGTTGCTACTAAAACAAATATCAACTGTCATTTGTCTGTGTAGCCTGCTTTTTTCGTAAGCACGTTAAACAGCACACGAGACTGCTCTATTCCCGCTGTATTCACTCACCCTGACACTCACTTAGCACCCCCTTACTCTCTGGCTTCCCGACCACCCTTTTGACTCTTGAACCGCCACTCTACATCATTTCATTACACCTGTCTTGGCTTAATTTGAGCATTAAATTTTATATCGAATTAACATTTTTGACCTACTTACTAGAAGAAAAAATGATGTTAAAAGTCTTGCAAACATTTTGAATTAAAAAACAAACAGATCTATTTAATGTACGTATAATATTAAATGGGAATTCCGTATCTTTAATAATTGTTATAATCATATAAAATTTCAATTCCACAGAAAGCTTTAACAATTTTTGCTTTCTAAAATTAAGGAATTTACCAAAATTAATCAATTTTTGTAGCAATTGAAAATAATGAAAAATGAAATGTTTGAGCGACTTTTCTACGTCGGAAATAGCTTGAGTTTAAAAATTATCATGCGTTGTGCGCGCTATCAAATCAGGAACTGATGGCGTTTCAAGTCCTTATATTTAAATAATCTAAGAAACTGTTCTTTCAAGCGTTGAGGTCCGCGAACATGCGGCTTTGGGTAATTCTTCTCTTTCTAGCTGTAATAATTTTATTGGCCTCTGGATCCGTCGACGGTCGTCAGAGGAATAGATCGAAGAGCCCGAAGGCTGTCCAAAGAACACCAAAAGTAAGCTCTCATCAGAAACCAATTTTTTTTTATGAAATTAAATTTTGTGGTAAAAATTATAACAAAAATCTCCCCAGGGAAGAGCCAAGAAGGGTCAAAAGGGCAAAGATGATGCGCTTGAAGTACGGAAGCACTGCAAAATGTTGGGCGGAGATGGCAAAAGTGCAGTGAATGAGATAAAACCAACTCAAACTACGGCTCAAATGAAAACGGCAAGGACGAAAAAAGTTTGTTTAAAAATTAAATTTAAAATACTTAAAAATAGAAAATTATATTTAAACATAGCCGAGGCGTGGAGGAAGTAATACGAAGATGAGGAAAAGTAGGAATAACAGGAAAAGTGGTCAAGTTAGTAGAAATAAGGGGCGCAGGAAGAGTTTCCGCAAATCAAGGAATAGAAAATTTGGGTAGAAAAATTGGAGATGAAATATAAAACGTTGACTTTTAACTCGCTAAATAAGCAGCCTGCTCAAAAAAGTTAATTTACATCTTAATTTATATATTTAGTTTCCAATAGACTTGATTTGTTGATTGTGTTCAAGCCAAATTATCATTCCATTTAAAAAAATCAACAGTTGTATCACAATCAAGCCTGTGAAACAAAATCTTATCAACCTACTTGGGAAATACTGAACCGAATTTGATTTTAAACTAATTTTATAGGATAAGTTGGCGTTAATTCCAATAAAATAATTCAAATATAAAATTTAACTTTAACTATGGTTAAAGTGGGGTTGCGTCTTAAATCTTAATATTACATCATTTAATTAAAATTGATTACTTTTGGTTTAATTTTTCTCAAATTATCCTTTAAGAGTTCAAAAATTTCTCATATTTCAATTTTTGCGTTCTTGCAAGTCTTATAATTTTCTGTACTTCCTCACCTGTTTGAATTTAAATAAATGTCTGCATCAATAATTTTATGTTTTCTATTTCTTCCAAATTGCATTTTTCGAAAGCTGAAATAAAATATTTAAAAAATTTTGGTAAGGATCAAGAATCGCCAGCTTAGTGAAACACGATTTTTGCACGAACTCTCGTCGGGCTGGCTCTCATTTAATTTTAAATAAGGAAAAGTCGTTGGTCCGCACAGCAAGGAAGAAGAAGAAGAAGTTGCCGGTGCCACCTCCTTTGTTAATTTTAATAAAACTTTGCGCCGTGCGTTTTATTTTTTATCCACGTGCGCGGCAACTGATAGGGCAAAATTATTATTTGCCGCCACCGGTGCTGCTGCTGCTGCTTCTTTATTTGCAGCGGGCCAAGTTTTAAATTTTAATCTGCCTCCCGAGGATAGTCAATTCTAAAAGGTTTAATAATTTTTCTTGTATAAAACGTGCAAATTTAAGGCCCCGCGTGGAGTTTCTGTCTTGTATGGTATTTTATATACATACCCGCGCGTTATCTCCAGAGAGAGGGAGAAATGAGGGCATTTTCCGAGCAACCCCTCCGGCGCATTTCAATGAGAAAGAAAGGCGACGTCAATCTCACCAAAGAAAGAGATTCGTCTAATTAGACAAACAAATATAATTATATATTTTTCGCCGAGACGACGATAAAAGGAAATGAAGAGCAAAAAGTTGTTCACAAAGTTCTACCTGGAAGGAATGAATTTTTCAGCGGGATAAATTTTTTATTCTCAATCCTGGTATTAATTTCAGCACCGCGAGACCCTTTTAACTTGCACGCAAAGTTTGTTGGACTAATTTAAAAATCAGAAGGGCGCTTGGCGGGTGTAAATTGCGAAACATTCGAAAAAGTGCTGATTAAAAATTGACAAGGCCACCAACCACAGGTGCGATTACTTTCAGCGACTAAATAAATATTTAATTAAGTAATTGTAGCTTTCTTCTTACTTTGACATTTTCTTGAAAAAATATCAAATTTTGAACTCTGCAGAATTCTAATATCATATGTAGAAATCACTTCAAATTTGATACATTTTAATTATATTTAAAAGTAAAGTGTGAAATGCTCAAGATTAGATCAACGTCTGCAGATGAAAATAGTCGCACGTTTCCCTATAATTAGCGCGAATTTATAACCCTTTGGATGCTTTATGAAAATTATTCCGAAAGCAGCACGAATAAATCACATTGAAATCTTAATTTCCCTCCACGCGATAAAATGGAATTGCGATACAGTTGGAGCGAGCTCGGAAGCGACAACAAATCAGCCGGCGCAGCCAGAGCAAGAAAACGGCAGGCGCGCATTTTTGCTGCCGAGGGAGGATCTCTCTTGCTCCTTTGCTCGTCCCAATCAAGATAAACTCGTTCTTCTTGAGCCGCGTGCCGACATAAATTGCGCGCCGCCGCCGCCGTAGCAGTATTTCATACTTCATTAACCAGGCCTAATTAAGCTTATCAGTTGAAATGCATCTAAATTAAAGCGCCAGCCGCTCGCTCCAGTGATTTCCTCCCAAATAAGAAGAAGTCGTATTTCATCATCACGCGCGCCCTCTCGCTCTCCCGAGCCAGGAAAGGAAATATGTATATGTGTTGTGTGTGTCCCTTGCTAACTCGCTCGCAAGCCAAAAACACGAGCGCGACCGCGCATAAATTATACATTTGTCCTGACGCCTCGACTCGCCGGCCGAACCTAAATTATCTCCACTTTTTGACCAGGGAATCGCCAGTCACACACGTCCCACGTGCCCATGGCTCAGCACCAAAATCACATATTCTTATAATTTTTAATTTCAATTAAAAACTTGAAAATAAGAGAAATAATCATATAGTATTAAGCGATAAGTTGCTAATCAACAGGAAAGTAAGTTTGCCTTGTCAGATTTTGAATAAAAAATTTAACTCAAGAACTTCCTTGCAACGTTTAAAATTAGAACGAAACAAGTCTCGCTCTTGGAGAAAATTATGTAATTCACTTTTCATATAAAATGGGAAAACATTTAGTCTAGGTAAAGAGGTTTCAACTTGGAAAAAAAATTCGTATCAGGCTCCAAAACTCTGGGTGCCCGGCCCGGGCACCAATAAACTGGGTGTGGTTTATTGTGGTAATTAAAAATTTTCGAGCACCGATATTGCCAGAATGGTATGAATTTTGTAATAGTAATTTATTAAAATAATATCACTATAATCTTGTATTATATTATGCAAAGTGTCATTGATGTTTGTCAGTCAATCGCTCAAAGTGGCTCAAAGCAAAGAGTATTCTTTTAAACTTTAAAACTACCTTCCATGAAATAAATAACATTTTAAATTAATTTTTCGGACTTTTTTATATCAGCTATTGTATGGGCTATATAGTTTGTATTTTTGATGACTAAGCTTGTGAGTGCAGATATCGACAGTGAATAATTTCCTCATACAATAATTTTGTTGTAATAATAATGAAAACCTTATTCCTTCATTTGATGCTTTTTTATTCCCTATGACCTCTGCTTACGACAATATAGTTCATATTTTTCAAAATATTTCACATTATTCCTTATAGGCAAATCAAAATGCCAATTTAAATATAAGAAAAATTAGAGATGAGCAATCACTTAAGTTTTGGCCATATAATTGATACTACTGCAAGTACGACGGCAAAAAGGCACAACCCTGCAAAGATCCACTGGGAAGTGGTGATCCAGAATGCAAACTGGTAGATGGTGGGGTGGCAATAATCCTTGTCGTTGAGGTCGAAGCTCGGCTTGTGTCTGTAAATCCAAATCGAGCCGAGCACAAACCAAATAAACAAAAATGAAAAAGCGACCGTTTTCAATAATGAGCCATGCCATATTTTGTTGACCAGCCTGACCAGCCTCTCTACAAACACTACTGCTAAACCTAAATAAAGAAAATAATTAGTTGAAAAGTTGATTTGTTAATATTCAGACCTCCGACGATCAGGTAAATCGGAATTTTGGGTTCTGCTGGACACTCGTCGAAATAGATGGACCCAATTACAATCATACAGATCGGCAAAAATATACCCAAGAGAGCAATTCCCATTATTCCCAATTGGATTACTATAGTAAAAAACTGTATAATTTGATATTAAAATTATCCTTTTGTACCAGCTGCAGAGGTTCCAAAGCAACAAAAATAACAAAAGATTCCCAGTATACCATCTTGTTGATATTGATATGTCTGTGGGTCTTCGTCTTCCAAAGGACAATTATTGCTTGAACGCAAAGCTGCGAATTTTGGACAAAAAATAAGGGAAATATTTTCAATAAAGATATTTACCACCAGTAAAATCAAGTGTCCCTCCAAGCATTGCTGGTTGAGGTGAGTTTGAGTTTTCTGTTTCTGAAGATTTGTCAATCATCAGTTTAGAGCAAATTTGGCCAGAATTGGTGTTTTCGATAATTTCATTTAATTCTGTAATCATTAACGGGTTAACATCATTAATTGGAGCAGAGACTGTGTTTATTGTTTGCTGGAACGTTGAAACAGTAAGAAGCACCGAGTCCTGGGTCTCCTACAAAGATTTTATTACAATATTATAAATTATGCTTTAAAACTTTAATTATATTCATACATTTAAAGTGACCACAGGCATCACAGCATTGAGATGGCTGCCTTGTTCTTGTTGGCTGGCACTTGACATTGCCTTCAAAAAAAAAAAAAATATTAATACAACTGAATGAAATAAAATATTTTTTCCTTCATAAATATAAATACTAATATTGAAAATATTAAAATTTTACTGGCGAAATAATAAATTGAATACTCAATACAATAAATTCTGACTAACCAAATAAATGAAACTTTTGATTTGATTTCTGTTTATCGATAAAACAACTTTAAGTTATATTTAATTATTTAATTATAATTGATTTTCCAATTGACAAAGATGAGCCACCCTGTGGTCCAAAATTGAAGTAATCTGGTTAATAAAATTGTTCACATGTAAAAAATATTTAAGTACTGTCTTTTGTCTGTATGAGAGAGATTAATTAATAATAGTAGTTCTCTTATGTATCAAACCTTAATCACCTAAATCAACTCAGCGGGATCGGTTCAAGCACGCCTGGAGTGGACCAAAGATTTACGGAAAGTCAACTTCAAGAACTAACTTTAAATCTTTGAATGGAATCTGACTATAATAAATGGTTCTAAAGTCACACTGCTCAATTTAATGTGCGACACCATCTCTATCTTGAGGGGAAATGCAGGATGAGGAAACATGCAAACACAATAATATTATTCATTGAATTACATTATTTACAGTAATGATAGTTGCCCCACTCTGTCAAGTCCAAAAGTGAATCATCCTTATTTGGGAAGTAAATGTAATGATTAAATATCTCTTGAAATTTGTGTTTTATTGTGGTAATTAAATATTTTCGAGCACCGATATTGTCAGAATGGTATGAATTTTGTAATAGTTATTTATTAAATAATATCAAAATAATCTTGTATATATATTATGCAAAGTAAGTCATTGATGTTTGTCAGTCAATCGCTCAAAGAGGCTCAAAGCAAAAAGTATCTTTTTAAATTTTAAAACTCCTTTCCATGAAATAAATAACATTTTAAATGAATTTTTCGGACTTTTTTATATTTATCAGCTATTGTGTTTATATTCGCGCGGCTATAGTTTGTAGTTTTGATGACTAAACTTGTGAGTGCAGATATCGACAGTGAATAATTTCCTCGTACAATATAATTTTGTTGTAATAATATTGAAAGCCCTATTTCTTCATTTGATACTTTTTTTATTCCTTATTACCTCTGCTTACGACAATATAGTTAATATTTTTCAAAATATTTCACATTATTCCTTATAGGCAAATCAAAATGCCAATTTAAATATATAAGAAAAATTGGTGATGAGCAATCACTTAACTTTGCGTATACTTTTTACTACTGCAAGTACAACGACGGCAAAAAGGCACAACCCTGCAAAGATCCACTGGGAAGTGGTGATCCAGAATGCAAACTGGTAGATGGTGGGGTGGCAATA